CAGAGAGAGAGAGAGAGAGAGAGAGAGAGAGAGAGAGAGAGAGAGAGAGAGAACGAAGCAAGCACCGTCGGGACGAGAAAGTGACTGATGGTGCGAAGAAGAGTAATAGGGGACGGGGCGGGGAGGTGGGGTGGGGTATTCACCCTTCAAAAATCACTGCCATGGTGAAGGGTATTGATCAAGAAAGGCCTCATTGGTCCCATGGTCCCCAGGTCTGTCCGGATTGTGGACTCATTACTTCCATCCATCCCAGCTTACAAGCAATTCATTAAGGTTACATGCAACAAAGCATTTTTATTGCGCTTTTCCTTTTATATAACATTTTGGGCAGGAAATTGATTGGAGGTTTGGATTCGACGTTGGGGTTACAAAGCAAGATTAAATCGTTTGTACTATTCCTGGCTTTGGTGGAGAAAGATGTTGTGTCCTTGATAAACGGGCTTTTCCGTATTTTCATATGTGTGTATTCTGCTGCAGATAAGCACTTGATGGATATAGGAGAGGGGGGGGGGGAAGGGTGGGGGGGGGGGGGGGGGGGGTACATTTGTCACAAAAGTTTGATTTCCTTGTTGTCTGTCTTGATCTATTGTTTGCCTTTTTCTACTTTGTCCATTAATGTCTGAGCCTTTCCTAAAACTTTGGGACAGAAAGGGGGACACGAGGCATGCAAATTCAAAATGAGACAACAGCCTCCAAATAATAAAGTTTCAAAAGCTTCTATTATGTATTTTCAGAAAATATTACTGTCCAGGAAACTGACACTTCCATTAACAAAATTTCAAACACATTTCATCAATGTTTGTCAATCTTATGGCGGACATAACTTTCCCAACATAAATGCAGTATCTCGAATTAGAATAATGGCAGTTGTTTTTTATTTCATCCAAATTCAGTGTGCCTTTATGGTACAAATGTGGTATTTGAACTCAACTCATAACTCACTTTCCAAGGTTACCACATCCACTAGGTAGACCTTTATGTCGGGAGAGTTATACTCATAAGACAGAATAATAATATAACGTTTTTACAGCTCTAATTTCTCGTGAGCTCAACTTATACCTCCAATATTAAGGAAAAACACCACTCAAATGGGGAATATGGCGAAAACCAAAATAGGTCTATTTCTGCAACAACAACAAAATAAAAAGAATAAAAAGAAGTCTTAAATATGATCTTAAGGACAAAACTCTCACGACAAAAAAAACAACAAAATAACTAACGTATTATCTAATCAACACCAAATTAAATAATATCGATTGGAAAAGGCACATCTTTCTCCCTAAATTGATTATCTGTGCACTTTCTCTCCCTGCAGTAAATCCGGTAGTGTTTGTATCCTCTGCTTGCACTTTTTCATCACAACTGAAAGTTCTGCGTGATCAAAAGAGGCGACATAAATAAAACTGAATCCAAATTGTCCCTTAAATAAGCATGACATCCACTCTCTTTTGTACATCTTAGTCTACAATAATTCACACCAAAATTACTATGAAGAACTATTTCTCAGTCTAGATATCTAACCTCTTGTAAACCATTCACGACAAAGACATAATTACGTTGAAGTCAGTATGTCCGTGGTATTGCATCACTCCTTAGGGCGGTATATGAACTTCCGGCGCAACACGAAAGTGACCGTTAATCGGCACTGTGCTTCCGAAAATCGGCGCGTTTTATGGAAATAATTTTCTAACGACAAACTATGGCGACCATTGCAAGGTATCATTTCTTATGCTTTTTTTGCTAGAAAATATGACTTCTACCTGCTGGGATGAATTTGCCAATACCAGAACTTTGCTAAAGCAATGAAAATTCTTATTCCAGTCCTTTATTGCGTGAATAGGATTGGTGAACGTGTATCTATTTTTACGACAAGAGTTATTACCGGGGAGTCAAATTTCAAACTAATCAAACGCATCATACTCAGCTTACAATTCATATAAATAAATGGACGGGGCTAGTCTTAAATGAACCCTTGACTTTCCCTTTTCCATCACAAATCAACACTTTTAATCTACTTGTTCTTTATTTTTCTTACTATCAGAGACAAAACACTCTATAAAAGTGTCCCCCTTTAGTTGCATAAAATACTGCTAAAAGTACATGTAGGCACATTTTCTTTATTTTAAAAAAAAAAAGGACTTCCCCTACGAATCTAACCTTTCTCCCAGTTTGTCAGTGGCATTCACTGGCACTGAATGTATTGACATCAAATATGATTTGATTTCCATTCTCTTTCTCCCTGAATACATCTACAAAGAGAACAGTACCCCAGAAAGACGAACTTTTAGGAAAGGCTCATCTGCACTGCTTTTATTAAAAAGGACCGCAGTCGAGTCACGCACTTGTAACAATCCAAAAATTAGAAAAAAAATCAATTAAAAAACATAACAAAAAACAAACACATAAACAAACAAACAAACAAACAAACAAACAGTCGCAAAGGGAAAGGATGACAGAATCTCTGAATTGTCATTGTTTTGTTACCTCATCAACAACACTAAAGCAGAGATGCTCAATAAAATGAACTGAATTGAGCCCAAGCCTCGGGCCTACAATGGTGAAGAGTTGAACCATGTCGCTACTGATGTTGATGAGAGGAGAGATGCACAGAGAGAGAGAGAGAGAGAGAGAGAGAGAGAGAGAGAGAGAGAGAGAGACAGACAGACAGACAGACAGACAGACAGACAGACAGACAGAGGAGAGAGATAGAGGTGAGAGAGTGGGGGAGAAAGGGTAGAGGGGCAGAGAGAGCAGGGGTGGGGCGAGGGAGAGGGAAATGGAGGGAGGAGGAGGGGGAAGGGGAGAGCGGGGAGGGGGAATAAAGAGAGGGAAAGGTGGCGAGAGCGATAGACAGAAAGGGATACAGAGATAGAAAGAGACAAAGACAGAAAGACACAGAGAGAGGGGAGA